GGTTTGTGAGTACTCTGATATTTTTTCTAGATGAGTTGCCTAGACTACCTTCACGTAGGGATGTTGACTTCTGTATAGAATTATAACCCGACACTACACCAATATTGATGACTCCACACCATATGAAAACAACAAGCTACATGAGCTAAATTCACAACTAGAAGACTTGTCGGATCGAGGTTTCATTAGGCCAAGTACTTCACCATAGGGGGTATTGGTACTATTTGCCAAAAAGAAGAATGGGACATTGAGGTATATTGTAAGAAATCGTACAAAATTTAAAGATGGATAACATGATATTAAGAGTACTTTCAAAAGGATGATAGAAACTTCGAATCGTTATTGAAAGATTGATCATGAAGTTTGTGTTTCATGCGTATTTACTTTCATGTCAATAGTTTGGGAGGTGTTTAAGCTTGAGAATGGTGGCTAATTAAGTTTATAAATATTTTTAGCTCAAAATAAGGCTAATATTGAATCCGGAAGGTCAAAAAACCTTGAAAGATATATGGGGTGTTTTAAAAGTTTGAAAGTATTTCAGAACTAAAATCTATTTTGGAGAGAATTTGGGCAGAAAGGAATTTGACACCATCCTAGTATTTTGTTTATAACTTTTACTCCAATGTCCAATTTCTCTAATTTTTGGACAGTAGAAATTGGACTTCAATTTATACAAAAATGTATTTCATTAAAATTTCTTGAATCTTCTTCTAACTTGGTAAAAATCAAGTCAGAAGTCTGGGCTAGAAAGCTACCTGCATCGAGATGTGAAGAGAACCATCCGGATACAACTCTAAAGGTTCTGACAATAAGTTAGGATCAACATCTACAAAATTATGGTAGGGTAATTTCTCAAGTTTACTCATTGAGGATTAGGATTACTTATAGGTATGTTTTGCCTTCTATTCGATTATATATGACAGATATGCATTAATTTTATGCTCTTTTTGATAATATGATCTATTTCTTAGAAGAATTACATGTTTACATCACAAATCTCATGTTGTTGATGTCAAAAATCCAAGTTGTTGATTATTATCAATTCAAAGATGTTTCTTGGGGATCTCTTGCATGTTTTCTTGAAATTATACTATTTTGACAATTGTGGAACCGTGATTCATGATTTTATGTGGATATGATGGAAATTATCTCTTGTATTGGTGGATAATATAAACGTGGGTTACCTTTGACCGAATATCGTAGAGTGTATAGTTGCATTTCTTACCTTGAGGGGTTGAAGGTTCCTTATCACTTGCACTAGAATTGCTTATTTTTGTGAGGTTCAAGAATTCACATTATTTGTTCATGGGGATTGAGGCTAGGAGCTAGTATACAATTCCTAGAAAAGATTCATTACTGACGATACGTCAGTATACGCCATTTCTAAAATGGTGTATCCTTGCGAGAATTGGTTACGGAATTTTGTGTATGGGTCATGATATTATCGATGTGTGTATTCATACTAGTATGCCTTCATGCATGAGATATACTTGTGATAATCAATTATTATTTTGATAATTGTTCCTTCTTTTTTATGAACCTTACTGTAGGTATCGTAAACTTGATATCTCATTAATTGTCCTGGTTTTACTTCAAATTATGATACCTTATTTTATCAAACGAGACCTACCTGTTTTAATTAGTTTTGAAACTTTATTTGAGCTTGAGAAGGTGTCCTACTAGGCTTATTTGTTCATCCCATGATAGAAATATAATTTAATATTTTAGCTTTGAGGAGGATATGACCCTAGGTGATCAAGTTGACTGGGATGCTGAGGTGGATATAGAAGTGCATGTCTATAGATATTTTCTTTAGTTTTAAATTTTGAATTGTGGTTGACTTGAAATAATATTTTGGAAATATTTTTTTTTATTTGTTAGTTGGAAGATTATCATTTTGATTTTTAGATGTAAACTTAAAGATTGGTTTATGTATCATTTGGAGATTTATTTAGTTAGTCTGTGAATGTTGAATGATTTTTATTTAATTAATGGTATTTGTAGTATGCTTTCATGATTTTGATGATATATAGATAGTTAATGCCTTGAGTGTGAAATTAGGGCATTACATACGTATCAATTATAGGCAACTGAATCGGGTAACTATCAAGAATAAGTATTTTTAATTTGCCCAGGATTGATGATTTATTCGACTAGTTGAGAGCTGCCCGGCACTTCTCAAAGATTGATCTATGAATTGGGTATTTCCAGCTGCAGAGTAGGCAGGAAGACATACCCAAGACTACTTTTCGAACTTAGTATGGGCATTATGAGTTTACGATGATGCTTTTTGGGTTGACAAATGCCCCAGCTTCATTTATGGCCCTGATGCATCAAGTATTCCACCTATACTGGAATCAGTTTGCAGTGGTGTTTGTTGATGACATCTCGATATACTCATAAATGAAGGACAACCATGAGCAGTCCATCAAGATCGTCCTTTAGACACTTAGAGATAATTAGTTGTACACCAAGGCTAGAAAGTGCAAGTTTTGACTATCTGAGATAAATTTTCGTATACATGTGGTTTTTTGAGTCAGGGGTGTCAGTGGGTTCGACCAAGTTGGAGGCTGTGATGAGTTGGGAACAACCAAGTACTGTATTTGAGATTCATAGTTTCTTGAGATTGGTCAGGTATTACCATAGACATATTGAGGATTTCTAATGCCTAGCAACACCAATGATTAGACTAACTAGGAAGGGGGTTGAGATTTTAGTGGGATGATATTTGCGAGCGAGCCTTGAAGGAGTTGAAATAGAGGTTGACTAGTGCTCCAATTCTTGTAATACCAGAGTGTTCTTTGGGTTATACCATGTATTGTGATGCCTCCAAGGATGGTTTGGGATTTATATTAATGCAAAATGGTCGAGTAGTAGTTTATGGTTCTCAATAGTTAAAGAATCGTGTGCATAATTACCCTACTTATGATATATAGTTAGTAGCCATAGTCTTTGCCCAAAAGAAATGACATCATTATCTATATGAAGAGTGATTTATGGTGTACTCATATCACAAAAGTCTAAAGTACATTTTCATGCAAATAGACATATATTTGAGACAAAGTCATTGCATGAAGTATCTTGAAGACCACAATTTTACTTTATTTTATCACCCTGATAAGGCAAATGTGGTCATCGTCGCTTTGAGTCAGAAATTGTCAGGGGTTTTGGCAAGTATAGCTACTCGAGAATGCAAACAATGGAGACAGTAGGCCGGTTTTAACTTCAGTTTGATGAGCATAGTTGTCATGGATACTAGTTGATCCTTTATAGGTATAACCAAGGGCAAGTGGTCAAGAAGTAGTAATAAGATTAAGTCCAAGGTCGTACCACAAAGAATGAAGTAAACCAAAATAGGAAAAGGAAGAATTAGTAAAAAAATGTTTGAAGTTTGGATTTGTTTATTAAAATATTGTAGGAAATTGAAAAGGAATTATCAAAGGGAGAAAGAATCCTTTGGCTTCGAGATCTGAAATTAATCATGTTCACTGGATAGCTGTAGTTATGCAATCTATGTTTATCTAAGTTGATTTCCAATGTTAGTGTAGTCAATTGGAAGGACACGATATTAATAAGGACACGATTTTGATATCTAAGTTGATATCTAAGTTGTTTATCTAAGTTGACCCCAGTTAATAAGCTAGGCCCAAATTAGCTACAAGGTGGGTCAAACCCAATTCATAGATTCAGCTCAGTCCAAAGTTCAAGGAGTCCAGAATGATTAGAGTACATGGGGAGCAATTATTGACATAGTCACTCTTGAAGATCAAGACAACCTTTAACTGTACTTACCTTTTGTATCTCCCTGAAGATCTAGTATCTTTACCCTCATACCTATAAATTGTAAGCTCTCTCTACATGAGAGAATATATTGAGTTCTACCTCTACCCCTCTCTATACACACATAACTTTTGTCTCTCCTAACTATTGTACCTCTCTCGGAGCTAACCATTGCTCTTTCTCTCTCTCGTACCTTACTTCATCAATAAAGACTTCCGACCATTGTTGCTGTTTTTCAGAGTGGAGTAGGTCACCTGGACCGAATTACTATATATCTGTGTGTTGAATCAACATTTACATTCATGTCATGATTGTTTTATTCATTGTCCATTAATTATATTTTATCATACACTCGACTATTGATTTTGCACGAGACTATTTTGCACATCATCATAAATAATACATGTACATGAAGTTCCAAAAAAATGTTAAAAGTCCAAATACTTTATGTAGAATTTTTTATAATTTTTCAAATCTCAGTATGTTAGAAATGTATGGTTCTGCTACAATAATTGTGGAGTTATTGTAACTAACTTCCAAATCTCTAAATAATATTAAATTTTAATAGTAAGTATATATATGCGTCTATTGTCTACTGCATAAATTTTGGCACAAAAACCAACTCATAACATATTTGGGAAATGCTGAAAGATACTGAAGTTGTGTAGAAAAGAAATATACTGATGGTTACTTTGAGTAGAGTTTTAACCTTGTACTTAATGTAAGATTGTTGTACCAATTTTTGTGTACATTTTATAACTCATTTACATTATACAAAAATATTTTAGGATTTAATTCAAACTGTGTGAGATTTAGAAAACCATTAAAATCACTTGTATCAGGTACCTATTATGCACAAAGTAGCTACTTATGTTAGAAGGTGATCAAACCTTATACTTAGTGTAATTTAACCTATGATTATTACTAGGATGTATTAGATTGATCAAGAATGCCTCACAAGGATGGTATTTTTTTTTCGAATTGCATGCATACATTCTCATGACATGATTTGACAATAATACAATATGATTGAAACTTAACTAATGAGATTATGTGCTTTACATTTTTCAGGACATGACAGAAACACCACTCTTGCATGCAACAAACCAGTAAAACAAGCTTTCCCAGTAAATTAAAGATTTCTAAACATGAACAGAATTTGATTCCTTGAAATCTAAAAAGCTACTTAAATGAGCACCGTCATAAAGCAGCAACCTACTTTATGAGACATAAATCAGAATGTCCATCACCACAAACAAGAGAAACTGGAAGTCATGCATAGCCAACAATTGGAAAAGGCAAAACAAACCTTTTTCTTCATCATGACCAAAAATCCATGGCCACCTTGCACAAGTTCAGAAAATACTTCTCGAAAATGCTTAGCCACCCCTTTGAAGGTGCGTTCAATTGATTCATCCTTCCGTTGATCCAAAACAGAAATAAGTTCTTTAATTTTCTGCCAGAAATTGATGGAAAATCAAGCTGAATTCACCAATATCACCTGAACATATTAGCCATAACTCTGAAGAGAAATCTGACAGATAGAATTGAGTACCTCATCACCTGCATCCAATTCAGCTTGCCTTCGCTGGAGTTCTTCTCTTTGCTCAGTGAAATTTACATATTGATCCAGGGCTTTTTTGTTTACATGGCTGAACTGTTGCAATTGCTCGTTGCACTTGTGAAGCATTTTATACAACTCTTTAATGCTCCTCCGCTTATACCTAAAGTTTCCAATGATCAAAAGACAAATTAAGAAATTTAAACACATAGTTCCAAAAGGATAACTTCATAACCTCCCCAAGTACATTTGCTAAGGATAGCGAAAACCTATTTCAGGTGTTGTAGAAAAAATATAAACCCATAAAAAGATTCATGAGGAATATTTATGAAACAATCTCAAGTTCAATCAACAGATCCTTCAGAATGAGCAGATCTTCATTATTGCACAGTGGCAATAAGCTAAGGAACACTCAAAGCAGTAGGAGCAGTCCGACACTAATACATACACTTGATGTAAGAGAATGCAAGGCTCACAGGTATGTGAGGCTCCCTGGATCTTTGTAGTTGTATGTGGACTATATAATTGTCTAATAGATGAAAACTAACATTACGTCTACCATTTCATTCAGAAAATCTACAATCAGATTTTGTAACAGCAAATCCTAAAATATAGAATTTAGACAATGCTAGGTCATGCCATAAAGTAAATTTGTTTTATGTAAAAATTAGCTAGTACCATCATGGTTGGACATCATTCATGGTTGGAATGCTTAGTACCNATTTAGACAATGCTAGGTCATGCCATAAAGTAAATTTGTTTTATGTAAAAATTAGCTAGTACCATCATGGTTGGACATCATTCATGGTTGGAATGCTTAGTACCATTTAAATGTTACTCGTGTTATATTCTAGGCGTGTTGGATGTACATTCATATCATATGCATTGGGATTGGGATTGGGATTGGGAGATATTCTTTAATGGAGATACCCTACTGGGCTTTGTGTCACCCCGTTGGGGGAACGAACATTTTTCAGGTACTCACGCTTTAGCAAATAGCCGTNATTGGGATTGGGATTGGGAGATATTCTTTAATGGAGATACCCTACTGGGCTTTGTGTCACCCCGTTGGGGGAACGAACATTTTTCAGGTACTCACGCTTTAGCAAATAGCCGTCTCATGGGTCCAGCTTGACAACGAAATCGAAGTCTGGATTTTCATTTTGGATGTATAGATGCTTAGGTCCCATTGTATTTTTCTTGAGCCTTGTATTTTGGTTATACAAACCTTTGTACATCCTTTTGAGTAAAGGCATTGTATATTGTGGCACTTTATATATCTATTCTTGTGACAAATGTATATTTTTATATTGTGAATCGTTGGCGAATGTTTAAATACTTAAATATTGGTTTGGGACCTTGGAATGATTGTTGTGTTAGTTTCGAAAATAGGTAAGGTGTGGAGAGAGCTCCCCGTACAAAGGAAACTTCGCTAGATTTCCTTTGTGATTGGTTCATCGAGACTAATGCCTAAGGTTAATTAACAAGGCTTTACAGGAAATTAGGACCAGCATCACAATAACCTCATATAATTAGTTTAAAGAGAACATGTATCCCACATCGAATGATTAAAACCACCAAAGTCAATTTATATGGAAAATTAATTTTTGGTTGAATATTCTAACATAATATAATAACTGGCCCTTGGGTGGTTAGTAAGTCAAGTCGCTTACCCATCTGAATTTCTCAGTATACATGTTTGTCTGTTTATTTGTTAATCCCATGTGCAAGTCTAGGCCCCACACGAGAGAAAGTGTATAGAGAGCTTGTGCACTTTCTATGCTTAAGGCCTAAGGGTCTCTTCAATCGTGGCCTACTGATTTTGATTTGCATGCTCTTACAATTATGAATGAGCAGCATACTACTAGCTTCTAAGTTCAGCTGCTTGTTTATGCATTCTCATAATCAAATTATAATACTTTGATAAGACTCCAGTGAAGGTCTGATATTCAAGCTATCATCTCAGTAAGAAACCATAAATTTTCCCACCAGGAGAAATGGAGATCAAATCAAGCAAAGGGCCAACCATGGATATGACTATTCCGTTGCATCAAAAAGTAATGCAGCATGTGGCGGAATATTATTTAGTTTAAGGACAGATTATTGAGCAATGTAACTGTACAAAATATTGAAAACATGCAGAATACAAGATTAGCTCCTTTAACTAAACAACAAGAGCACTCTGTATAAACATGGATTGTGCAATTTTATATAGAAATAAGACTATGGTAGAAAGCTAAGACTAGTTCTTTAGTAGGGTTAACAAAACAAGTTCAGATATCTTTATGCTCAATCCATTAACCAAATCATGTTGGGAACATAATTTTGATGGGGCATCATTTATCTCTCAATTTCAATTTACATATATACATAAATATGATGAAATAACCTAAGATGGTTCAAACTTACAGTTATAGATATCATCTATCAGTCAGCAATATAGAAAAAAAGGCAAAAAAGTTCACTGCAATAGTCTACAATGGAGGAATATTAAAAATTTAGCAATGAGTATTACGTTTCAAAAGCATCTGAAGATAATGGACCCAATTCCCTGATTTTTTTTGAGTACTCTTCTTGTTTGGTGAGAAGCATGTTTCTTTTACCCAACAGTTGTTCCAGTTCTTTTGCTTCATCCTGAAGGGTCCTTTGATAGTCATCTTCCAATGTCTGCATTTGAAAGGAATCTTAATGTTATCAGCAACCAAAAAAAAAAAAAAA